CCATGATACTTTAGTACCTGCAGTGAATTGGGTGCAAAACAGTACCACTTTTCTAGGTGAAGCAAAAACACGCTCGAACACCAATGCAGCGTTTGTTCGTTTCAAAAAGCGGTGCTGTTTTTTTGCAAAAAAGACTGCATCCAGCCTGGGGTCCTTTGTGCCACTGGAAACAAAGGGTCAGCGGGTTACGTCGTGTAAATTCGGAAAAGTGGCAGGTGAAATTTTCCATTTCCATGGTTCATCGCGATGACCGCACATTCATTAAATCAGAGAGCATCAGCGACGCGATCGCAGGTTGCACTATTTGAGCTTCTGAAAGCCGCTGCTCCATCGAATTTTAGCGCCTGCAAAAGCCATCACTGAGAGTTCAACTAAAGCTTGTTCGGACACCTGAACTGCCACTACTTGAGGCATGTATTATTGCTATTATAAATTTGCTAGTAAACTACTGGTTTTCGACACCACTGGTAAAAATAACATTCTGAGGATTTGCACGGCGTAGGCATGGCGGAATTGGAGCTGCTAGAAGAAAAGGGGAAATTACGAAGTAAACTCAGAGAAATGAAGGGAGAGTGATCCTCATGTATCAGTGTCGTTTTTCGAGGCAACAGCAAACTGTGGGTGCCAGTTGAAAAGCAGGTAAATATTGTTGCACACAGATGTGCAATGCATATTCCGTATCCTAATCTGGATTACCTATGGATTAATTTCGGTTCATCATCTAAAGTAAAATAAATTACAGTCTCACTGACTGTATTTAAACAAGAGTAGTACTTCTCAATTACGAGCTCATTATCATCATCCGGATGAAAATATCTACAGTGCGATTACAGCGTGTTTGTGCATGTCCTGGCTCCTGTTGTCAGGTGCAATTGCATGCGATCTTATGTGAACGTCAGTAGGTTTTACCTATGTGCCTTCATCCGCAATTACGGCAGTTGATCTGATATACTATATTCAGTACATAGTTCATACTGATATGGTTATACTTATAGAGTACCTTCCAGTCGTGACTGTCAAACAGAAATAGATTATAAGCTCGTTTTTATTTCATGCCTTATCGTTTTTGAAGCATGAGGCATAAACCAACTCTGCATTCTGTCTCTAGTACACATTCAGGTTGATTCTGCTGGCAATGATCTTTGATGATCAACGATCCGTCACAGATCGCAGGAGGTTATTCTTCAGTGTTGCTCTAGACAAACTGCAGTCAGTGGCAGTACGTTCACAAAGTGTATTCTATCAGTAGAAAGCACGCTGTACTCAACAACTATATCCATTCCGCTGGCCAGTCATGGGTAGTGGTTCTTGACGGACAGACAGTTGAGTACTTCATCTTATTTCAGTGCAAGAGGCAGGCAAACAACTGAAGTTAATGTGACAATGACCGACAGTTAATGGTGAAAGCAAACCGACTTGTTTCCAAATAAAAACTCTCAATCGCATCCATAGCCCTTTGAAACTACTTGAACGACGGTTGTGTGGTCGTGGCGTTGACGAGTTTCGGCCCATCCTTGCCAGATGCCTGATAAAAACAAGTTGCTCTGTGCAATTCTATTCTAACCGACTCAATTCACCCGCTGTACCAATGTTTCAGTCAGCGTTTTCGAAGCTCTCAAGTACAAGATGCCGGTACATATTTTCCTGGGACAGGACTGAGTCTTACCAGAAATCAGCTGTTCCATCCGCTGTCAGATGCCTGATCGATCCAAAAGAAGGGAAACGGTTATTTTGGACCAAACTATGTTCATCCAAACTATCGCATAGGAATTCACTTTCCTACTGTTTCTGTTTCGTATTTATTGATTTGCATATTTTGATTTTGGCAATTGCAGTGTTCCTTAGGGTTTAATTAAGTAAATTTGGCTGATCCATTAGCTGACGTGGTCATACCAAAATGGACTGCATGTATGGCCATTCTGTCTGATGATGATGCCTCTAATACTGGCAGGACGCCTTGTTCCACCTGACTATTGACTGTCTTGGGTGAGCCCAAATAAGTGTTAACGGTATATTAAGAAGCTTGAAACTTTTGGATTTACATTCCTCATTTTGGAAGTTTAAGAAGATTGTGCAGTTCGAACGAAAGCAAATTGTTACTTAAACCTGAAACATTTATTCAGGTATCCGGATTAGCAGTGTCAGTTTAATAGTTAATAATAATAATAATGCGGACACTTTTAAACCGCGCGTTTTGACCATATAAATAAGGCATATTGGACAGACAGACTTCTATTTCGCCTACATAGCATGATCAGTCACCGAAAGAACAAAAATCATAAATAATAATAATCTCCAACGCGTAATTCACAAAAACTGCATCATAAAGTTGCCTACCCTGTAAAACTAGTGTCTCTACCATTGCATCAAAAGTAAGCTGCTAAGCGGAGCATAAACACCTAGTTCACAGTCGCAAAGGCGACGGTATAACGAAGCGGTTAATAAAACTTTATTTAAAACAGCCAATTCCACGAATGCCTAGCCTTCCAGTCTTCGCTGCGTTACTTACTTCAGGCAAATGGTAGCAATGAGCGAGACCGGCTAAAACACAACTACATTATTTATTTAGTTTCAATCCATAGCATTGTCATGTTTTATACGCGTCATAATAATAGTACTTGTGTAAATAATACGCCGTCGAGGGAACGTACTAATTTTTAATTCATCGACTGCAAAAAATAAAAAAATAGAACTTGTTAAGAAGCAAGGAGTTAACTTTTGAAACCTTTTCAATACAGCGGGGGATTGACTAACTTAATACTCTTTTCGAATCCGTGGCTTAGAAAACAAACAGAAATAGTGTTTGTTTAGTCTGCCACATCACTGGCTAAATTAATATGCATAATAATACAAAGCAGACACTGCGGAATTGATTTTCAGGTTCATATGTGTCAGTTAGCTTCAATTTGTCCATCGAGCAACTCTGCTAGAAAATAACAACGCTGCGTTGCCTTTTGCCTTGAGGGGTCACACGAATTCCCAATTACTAGTTTAAACACACTTGTGCTTTTCTTTATACCTACGGTTGGCGACGTGACGAAGGAATTATGATTCTCTATGGCTATGGCAAATAGAGAAGAGAACATTTAGCGTATTTAAATCATGAGTTTGGCAGAAAATAAAGTAGAACACGAAAATAAGTTCCAAAACAAAAAGCTGTAACAATTCATTTTCCTTCATTTTCTTAAATCAAGCATTAATTTTTAAATGGTCACGTCAATGAGCGACGATCGAGATGTGAAATTTCAAAGGTAATAATTTTCGATTCGCTCCTGTCATTTATTTCGAAGTAAAATTGCTGCTGTATGACGAATTATGACTCCTTCTGTAACTCTCTCTAATTTAACATGCACGTGAGCACGAACTCGGTGTCAGTGTGGCTTCTCTTTCAAACGGGGTCAAGGTGTACAATTACACAAAGTTTCACTTCTCTTAGTGGTTGTCTACTACAGTGAGATGCAAGAAAGTTGTTCATCATCTTCTTTAGATAAAACATGCATTTATCGCAGCCGACTCTTTGTAAAATCCAATTTATCAGCAATACCTGATATTTATCAGAGCTTCCTAGGAAGATACATAATAATCATTGCTACTATTATTTTATGATTCAACTTTTAATATTATTTTAATGATATTTAGTAATACGAAATAATTTTTTATTCATCGTTGAGGATACGAATAATCATGTCATTATATTGGCAATGCTTTTTAATAAATTTCTTATTTATTTGAGTGGTGATATTTCGTTTGACGTAAAGTAACT